TCTTTTCGTTTAAAATATATTTTTCCGTTGCGCGAAGACAGTCACTTGCCAACAAAAAGTGCATCACGACTATTGAATTAGTTTGAGAATGTATCTTTTAATAACAAAAAATTTGGTTATAAAATCCCAAAAATTTAGATGTTAAGTGTAGAAGGGCAATTTCATCAAACTGTTCCTCGACAAATCTATTAGTTGTAGAATGCATGATTTAGTGAGCAAAGACTTAGTCGTTAATTTATAAGATTTTAGACGCTGATTGTTGATTGCAAATCTAGGTATATTACCTTCCGCTACTATGACATTAGTTATAGAATGCGTGTTTTAGTGAGAAAAATTTTAGTTGCAAAAGGATATCATTTTTAGTTGGGGAATGTGTACTCCCAATTATGTTTATGGCATTTCATGACTACTGATTTAGTTATTAAAATTGATTTTTTGCATCTAAATAATATATTAATTGATTGCACATGGCTTTTGGAAACTAATTATTTTAGTCAGTTAATATTGACTTTTGTTGCTAATTGGATACCAAGTTTGTTACAGGATCATTCATGCTATGTTTACACACATGATCAAGTATATTTAATAACATTCAAGAACATATACATGTTATTAAATAGAAGAGAAGTAAAACTAACCTCTTAACCTCTTTAAGTCGTTGATTTTAGCCTTTGCAAGAGTAGAGAGTAAACAAATTTCTTTTGAGAAATTTTTAAGTTTTATTTCCTTCTCTCACTGAAACTAAGATACAACCTCTCGTTTTATAGACGAGAGTTAAGGCATGGATTTCAAACAAGTTTGAATCCGCCGACAACTTTTACAAAAGTCAAAAAGTCTACAGTTTACTTTTTGACAAAGCAAAGAATAAACAAACAAAACCAACAAAGACTTTGGGGTCTACTGTCTCCCAATTGTCAAAAGATAAAAGCTAATTATTACAAATATTCCGCTTTTTGATACACGCAAGCGTTCACGTGTTGATCATTTAAGGGTTGATCAAATCTCCCTTTTTCCTGGGCTGCAAGATGAGCTAGGCCGCTCCAACGAGTCCAGTAAAAACCCGAAAGAGTTTTCTTCTGAGTCCATCTTAGCTTCTTCTTGGGCTAGAATGGGCCTAAGAATATCCTTCGTACCTTCCATCAAGGCTTGCTTAGAAATGTAGGCGAGCTCAAAGCCTTCCGCCAAAACTTTAATCCGAGCCTTGTTTTGTCTAAAAAGAGTGTCCTGAACTTTGGCATATTTGATTGGAAGAACGACAATAATTCCTTTGTCAAGGTGAACTAATGCGTCTTCAGAAAGAAGTTCGTTCAGCTTGGATTTTACCTGCATCATTTTAGTGATATGCAGTTTGGTCCAAATCCATTCCTCTTTTCCAGATCTTCTTTTTAATTCATGTAGTCCAGCAGCTCCCATGATAATATGTTCGTCTGCAAAACCATCATACCATGGTTCACCTACAATGAATTCCCATATCTGTACAGGTTGGATAGCTTCATCTTCCTGCAATGTGGAAGTAATTATGCAGGTAAAGGTGTTAATTTTCCTGTCAAGTACACAGAGCGTTTGTTTAACCGCATCTGGAATTCCAGGGTCCACCATAGCTTCCTGTACGTCAATTGTAAGAATGTCGATCCATCCCTTCTGTAAAAGATCCTTACAGAAACCTCTTTTAAAGAGTTCCCATGGAACGAACAATTCCATAGCACCATTTAAGAATACAGATAATCCTTGAAGTAATTCCTTCAAATCTGCTTTCTCAAAATGAGCTATTAACTCATCCAAAGTGATTAACTTGAGATAGTGCATCTCAAACATGGAAATATGATCCATTGTGTCAATCTTTTGGATTATAGATTTCCGAAGAATTGGTTTTCCAAAATTTTCCTCTTCTTCGTAGTACAGCTTATCCTCTTCAAGCCACGCAAGTTTCCTTGCTAAATCTTGGAGTAGAGTGTCAAGCTCAACATGTCCTTTCCCTATTGCCAGGGCAACACGACATTGGCTTTCTAAGTTTCTCCAGAGATTTTCACTAGCTTGAGTAAGCTTAATTCCTTCAGGGAATGTGAATGATTCCATGAAGTTATCCTGCTGTAATTTAGCAGTATGAGCAGCTTGTTGTTTAACAACCTGCTTTCCTCTGTTTTTCCTGATATTTTTCGTACTAGATTCACTAGTAGCACCAGTAGCAGAGTTCCGCGTAGAGCTTGGTGTAATCACCATGCTGGCTGCGTAGTCCTTCTGATACTTAGGGTTTCGTCGATCAGAAGTATCCGTATCCAGTGAGATAGCTGACCTGGAACGTATAATTCCCTGCAAATCAACAGTGGAAGCCTGCTTATTTAAAGCAGTAACCTGTTGGTGTACAGATTTCCTTTGAGCAGTGGTTACCTGCTTAATCACAGTATTCGTTTCCTCCATAGGAGTATCCTGCTTCAAAGTCTTCCTGGAAGGGCAATTCCTCCTGAGATGACCTCTCAGTTTGCATTTCGAGCAAGAGAAGAGACTTCCAGTTTCCTTTTTGTCCATTTGAACCTGCTGATTTTTCTGCATAACGAGACAAAAAGTCAGCGATAAAATTAGATTTACCAGGTAAGTATTCAATCTTAATGCGATATTCCGCAAACCAGATTTGCCACCTAATTAATCTAGTTTTATCATCCTTTAAAGACAATTTCATAAATGTAGTTAAATATTTAGAATCTGTCCTTAAAGTAAATTCCTGACTGATTACGAACAAACGAAATCTATCAGTACATTCTTTCGCAGCTAAAACTTCCCTTTCATGAGCGGGATATCTTGATTCAGCTGGAAGGAATTTTCCTGATGCATATCGAACAATTCGTTCAATATTATCAGTTCCCTTGGCTTTAAGCACACCTCCCCAATAGAATTCAGATGCATCACTTTCAATAATCAAGCGATCTTCATCTTGAGGGAGTGATAAAGGTTTTAAGTGCTTAGTCAAGTCTTTAGTCCGGATAACACAGTTAGTATCCTCTTTATTCCAAGTCCAGGGGACTTTAGAGCTAACTTTCTTTGTTAATCCGTTTAAAACCTCGGCTAATTTAGGGACATATTCCCTCATTTGGTTAGCGAGTCCAAGAAACTGTTGTAACATATGCTTATCTTCAAGCATATTAGGAAAATCCAACAATTTCTTTGAAATGTGATCCTGGAGTTGGATTCCTCCTTCTCCAAACTCGACACCTAAGAATTTAATCTTAGTTTGGAACCAATCTATCTTTCGCTCAGATAGAATCATTCCATGATCAAGGAACCTTTTGATTACCTGTCGAAGATGATTTTTATGGTCTTCCTTAGTTTTACTAAAAACTAAAACATCATCAACATAAACGGTACAAAAGTCAGATAAGTCAAAGAAAACCTTATCCATTTTCCTTTGAAATATGGATGGCGCTTGCTTAAGTCCAAAAGGCAAGACTAACCATTCATATAACCCTTTAGGACATGTAAATGCCGTTAAAGGTATGCAATCTTCTGCCATTCTGATTTGCCAAAATCCTGACTTTAAATCAAAACGAGAGAAGATTTTTCCAAATCTAGCTTTATTTAACAAAGCTGATCTGTTAGGGATTTTATATCCATCGCCTATAGTTTTATCATTAAGTTGCCTATAGTCGATTACCATACGAGCTTTTCCTCTAATCTGCTCAGCTCTATTCATTACCATAAAGGCTGGCGAAGAGTGTGGACTTTTACTTTCTCGTATTAATCCCTTAGAGAGTAACTCCGGTATTTGCTTTCTAAATTCCTCTTCTACATCAGGAGAGTACCTACGAGATTCTGATTTAATTATATCATCAGGGTTTCGTAGTTTTAGAATAGCAAAGATACCGTTCCTTTCCCATAGCTTCAATGGTTGATCATCGAAACATGGAGAAAGTTCCTCTTTAAATTCTTTGATTTCATCATCAAGAATTAAAGAGTTAACACAGCTCTTGTTTACAAGAGTAATGTCCTTCTGTGTTAATTCATCCGTGCTCTCAAGGTATGCACCAGAGGGGTTTTCCTCCTGCGATATACCTCGTGCGATCCGGTGTGAAAGATGACAAGGATATAACCTCTGTAAGTAAACATTACAAGCTTCTTCATCCACATCCTTGGAATTTCGCAACCACCATTTCTCTGTTGAAATAACAGGAAAAATTATGTGATCTGATTCTTGCCGTTTTCGTTGTGGTCGGAACCCATAACGAACTTTATTAATTTCCGGCTTTGCAAGGATTGGGATTGAATGTCCTCCAAGCATAATATAATCATTATCTTGGACGAACGGCCTCACTTCTGCTTGTCCTCTCAGAAATGAGTTTCCAAGAATAAAGTCAACCTCTAAGTAGTCCATAAGTAAAACTTCTCTTAGAGTAAACTTTTTCTTGTTTAACAATATGACTACGTCATGGACAAATTCAGTAATCATATTTTGACCTCCATCTGCAACTGTATTCATGATAGGCTTTTCAAGCTGTTTCCATAATTCTTCTGGAAAACATTGCTTTCGCGCTATACATTTAGTTGCACCTGTATCTACCAGAATATCAAATGTATATGGTTCATATTCCGGGAAATAAAGTTCCGCTCTAATACAAGTATCAATAGTTCCTTGTACTAGTGCATGACAATGAACTTTTCGACTCATTATCATTCGCGTTGTTGGAGTATCATCTTCATATACTGGGATTTGAACAGACTTATAACCGATTATCCTTCTTGAAGAAGTTTCACTTCCTGCTGTGCTAGTAGTATCATCGATTTTATCTTTTTCCAGTATATTAATCCTTGGGTTTGGTCGAATAACCTCTTTTCCTCGATCCGAAATAGAATTCCGGGGAGTAGGAAGAGTAACCTCAACTTGATCACCAAGTTCCTCAATGTGAATTCCTGACCGATGAGTTAGATTTTTAATATCCATACATTCAACCTCAACAAAATAAGAGTGACACAATATTAAAATATGGATCAATATAAAATATCTTCATTTCATATATATATTAATAGTCCATATATGGATTTTTCTGCATGATGAGCAATAAAAATCCAAAATGCACTATCATGTGTGCAAAACCAAAAAAAGAAGGCATGCACCCCACATTTTCATCAGTACCTACCTATTTGTGCAGATGAAATCAATGTTCCAATTTTAAACATTACTAGTTGAGGCCTTAGAAGTAGTTGTTGCAAATGAGGAAGACTCATCAGCTGTCGGAGATGGAGATGGCTGTCTAGTTGGTTTGGTAGCAGGTTGCACATGTACAGTTGCAATAGTCATGTGAGTCAACATCTCAAATAATTTTTCTTCTTGTTCTTCAAGCAATTTGATTTTCTCCTTCTGTTGATCAAATAGTATGAGTTGCTCCTCTAAATCCTTAATCCTATTTTGTTGTTGTTCAACTATGCCCCTTAACTTTGTTACATTTGATGTATCATGCTGCTTAGTCACACAGAAGGCAAAATTCTTGTTGAAGCTGGAAGCTTTACCAAGCACTTCCTCACAGATTTCAGCTTCAGTTCTTTCACTTTCCCCAGTCTGGGTCTCATCTAGCATCTCAATCATTTTCTCCTACCATCAATTCAATGCATAATGAATAAGTTGAACTAGTAATAGAATAACATGCATAATATAGAGTCTCATGATGTTTGTAGCATTACTAGCATATAACAGAATTTATGGCACAAAAAACAAACTATTATTTACGTGTTGACTTTTTCAATTACAGCACACCAAAAGAAAGGCTATGATATATGCAATATTTGAGTAGAAAAGGGAATCTAGCAAATTAAAATGTAAAGCAGGGTAGGCAAGCAATATAAGTAACAAGAATCCAAATGTACAGGGGAGGCAAGCAATAGGAAAAGGCAAAAAGGAAAGAAAACTAACACCTTAATCTAGCACATCCAATAAATTCAAAGCATAAATTGGAAAACCATATTTAATGGAGATGAAGTACCAAGAAAATAAACTCCTTTAAATACCAGTTTTGAACCCCATGATTGAGTGCTACTCCAAATGTTCTGATATTTTGCACAACTAAATACTTCAATGAAATATAGACGTAAGATCATGCAAGCACTAGGAAGGGAATGTTCCTTCTCTTTCAAAGGTAAGCCATCAACCCTATCAATGACCTAATAAGCCTAGCTCAAGCTTAGCCTCCTCTTTCTCAGGTGGATAACAAAGATAAGTATAAGAAGTACTAAAGGCAGACAAATCTAGTACATGAGACGTTAAAAGGGAAACTAATTCAATTAAGTTCACAAATCAGGGAAACTATGTCAAATCATTTGTTTAAAGTTGTTTATAAAGCAATCATCAGCCTAACATCAACTATCCATGTCAGCCACATTTACCAATCTGCATATATTAACTGTAGCTAAATTGGTTTTCTAATAACCAACAAATCAGCTGATCCATCTTTCTAATATCTACAAATTTAACATATAGCAAAAGCAACCATACTTTGATAATTCAAAGTTTATGAACTTACATATAGATCTCTGGCTTGTTCATTAACCCACCTTTTCTCGACACTCCAACGAGTGTCATGAAATAATTGTACAGGACCAACAGATTCCCCAAGTTGCTTAGCCTTAACAGTTTAGGGTGTTATTGACCATAAAATGAAATAAAATTGGGAAATAAAAGTTGCATATTTGTATAAGGTAATAATTTTTAATACCTTTTCCTTTTTGTGCTGAATAAAGTTCTTGGAACCACTACAGTGGTTACACCGCAACTTCGACCGATTCTTCGAATAAGTTTGTGGCGGTGCCTAACATCAGAAAACCGATATTATTATACAATACATAAGAACATAAGAATTGATGCTGAGTTTACCTGAAACTTTTCACTAGAAAAAAGGTCACAGAGATATATCCAATCATCTAGATCTTCAATTTCTTCAGGCCTATTCTGTAATGCTTCCTCCTTAGTAGCATATGCTTGCAATTTTTTGTGCAAGGCACTCCTAAACCCGTTGAATCTCTTAGACATTGCGTATTTCATCCATTTCAATACATGGGGCTCATTGACATTGATGTCAAACTTGGTCCGAAGAGAGCAATAATGTACACGCATTTAAGTATCCAGGGTATTATATATCATTTTCATATGGAAGTATAAGAAAAATGTAAAAAGATATGAAGGACATTAACGTGATACGAGCAATCATTTGTCTTTCCACATTGTTGGGAACTTTAACCCAAGTAAGAACTCTAACAGGGGCATAGTTCCTCACTACAATTCCTATCTCACTGCATTTACTCTTGTAGGTACTCCATCTTCCTTGTCAAAGTCTACATGCAACTTTGTATTGGCTATTTGCATTAGTCTTTCACATTCGACTCCTCTAGATTTCCCTCTGACGTTCTTTGCCACAACATTGCCTACAAATTCAAAATAATTTATATATCTAATTAACATCTTATCACAAGAACTGTCAACATGGTTGTGAACCAAAATGTATTCTTAAAAGTTAAGCAAACGTTAGAGATAATATCAGAATTTTAAGTATATATTTCAGTTTAATTAAGTTAACCAATAGCAACCATTTTACCTGTGTTTGCAGTAGTTTGAGGAGCCAGCTTAGAACTCGATTCATTCCAACATCATTTGTACATCTAGCTACGGTCATTCTTCTACCAGGAGCCATCTTCGAAATTTGTAAACATCAACAGAAGAGACAAAAAGGCAGGTGAGATTTAAGTCACTTTATACATACCATCTGAGTAAATTAGATTAGTAAACACATTAAATCATACATATAATTAGTAAAGAGTACATATAAGCATACAAAATAGAAATTTAGTATCACAAATATGTTATATCACAAAGACAGTACTTAACCCAATTAAACCACATTCATCCATACGAAAGAACAAGACAAATAGACACCAACAAAGAATAAACTACAAGTGATCGTGTAAATGAATATAAACGATATGTTATACACTCTTAAAAATGAAATGATAAGTGACAAGGTATTACACATCTTATGAGGTAAAGTAGACAATGAAAGCAAAAAATGTCAACCCCCTAGTCTCTCTAACCTGCATTTCTAAGTACACAATAGAAAATATGCCTGTTTTTCTCCTAAATTCTAATTTCAATTTCTTGATCCATAGACCCTATCTTCAAGCTATATCAAAAGAGTACATAGTGCAATAAAAGTTCATCAAGAGGTCAATTCTTCACAGTAAACCATGTAGACAACAAATAAAAATTAAAAAATTAAAAACAAATATAAGCATAGAGATCCAATATTATAAGAAGTAGTGCATATTCTTGAGGAAACTCAGGCAGCATGTAGATATATTAGCACAAGAAAAAATTAATTGCAGGAAAATGTAAAAATAATGATCAAGGAGAAAAAACTTCTCAGACTCCATCCAAATAACTTCCATTCAACATCCATTTCTTTTTCCGTTCTTTTAACTCTTTATTTCCATTTTTTTTTTAACCAAATAAAGTAACATAAAACTCCAAGTCATTGACCGAAAAATAAATAAATTAAAAAGCAAATCAAATCTCCGTGACTACATGCAACACACTAACACAGTAAATGACGCAATCTGTACAATATGAATCTTCCAAATTAAGCTTGAACAACTCAAAATAACTTCAGTAATGTATACATTCAAAATTAAAACAACAAACTCAAAATCTTTACTTAACTGAAGATAACGCACACTCCACAGATTGTATGAAAATCATTCAAGAAAGAAAACCCATAATCAAACTAAACCAAAGAGAACGCATAGTCCACAAATTGTATGAAAATCATTCAGATAAAGAAAACCCATAATCATACTAAACCGAAGAGAAAGCAGTTGAAATTTTTGTAACATTAAACGAAAGATACACAAGAAAATCTGTACTTACTGGAGGTTAGGGATTGATGGGTTTGAAGTTTGTGAACAGTGACTGGGTCGTATTGGATGAATGAAGGAAGCTGAGAAGGAGAATTGAAAGATGAAGCTGTGTGGAGAAGAGAAGGGGTGAGGTTCTTCAACCGGGAAATTGGGGAATTAGGGATTGGGAAAAGGCATGGTTTATACAGGTTAGGGTTTTTTGGTAAATAACTTTTAAAAGTGGGGCTTTTATTTAGTTGATTAATTTTTAAATATAATTATATTTGGCAAACAAGTGAATTTGGAACTAAATATTTAGTTGGAAAAAAATTAGCATTAGTTGTCTATGTTTTAGGTTTGGCGGGAATAGGGGTGTTATCGAGCCGAGCCGAATCGAGTTTTCGGCTTAACGAGCTTAGCTCGTGAGAGGGGAAGAGTAACGAGCCGAGTCAAGCCATAAATTATATGACTCGACTCGGCTCGGTAATAGATTAGGCATATTTTGAACCGGCTCGCGAGCCATCTCCAAATAATTTTGTTTTTTTTTCAATTTTTTTTACAAAAATTCGCTAGGCAACAGTCTGAGTCGTCTGACTGCCCACCTCCATTTTCTTTTGTTTAAATTAATAATTTTTTTAATATTATTTTCTTCATTCTTCGAAGGCAGAGGGCTCTTCAAATTCTGTTGGCTTGCGTTTCTTTGTTCTCCAATGTCTGAAATTCAAATAAATGCAAATCATAATTTAACTTTGTCTGGGCAGCAGCCATCTCCAAATAAAATTGAAGAAACCCCAAACGCCAAACAAACAATTAAATCCCAATCGACCAATTAAAGTCCCCTACTGACTGATTAAAGTCCCCTACTAGCCGATTAAAGTCCGACGACAATCTGACAAAGATGATGACGAACCGACGATATCCACTTCAGATCTGACGATGATGACGACGAACCGACGATGTCCACTTCAGATTTGACGAAATGATGACGAACCGACGATATCCACTTCAGATCTGACGAAAATCCGACGAAGATGACAACGATGACGAAGATCTAACGGTTGCCAAAGGTTCGACGAAGATGAACAATATCTGACGAAGATCCGGCGAAGCTGACGAAGAAGAACAAGATCTGGCCGAAAATCAACACTTTGGGAGGAGTTTGATTCAAATTTTACGGCAAGGGTTCACTACTACGGATTTTTCGCGATTTGGGGATTTTAATAAGAGGGTCTATTTTGTTATTTTTTAAAACTTGTTTGCATTATTTTCAATTAAATCCCAATGGTTTAGAAATTCTCAAAAAAACCCCCACTTTTTTGAACCAGGAGCGGCTCGCGAGCTTGAGGAGCCGAGCCTTGTATGGCTCGAACTCAGCTCATTTTGTCTCATGAGCCGAGTCGAGCTGGCTCGTAATCAGACGAACCGAGCCATTAACGAGCCGGACTCGAGCCGAGCCGAGCTGAGCCGGCTCACGAGTGGCTCAGTTCGTTAACCAGCCCAAGGCAGGAACAAATAATTTGGGGGGAACAAGAAATTTTCAAGTTTAATTGGTGACTAAACCAAATTTAGTTGCTGTATATGATTTTTTGCAACTATTTTTAATATGAACAAAAAAATTTGTTACTAAAAATACATTGGGCCCCTTGTAATTATTGTTCAAAAATGGGATATTTCGGTAATTTGTTATTCTGTAACTAATCATATAGTTACTAATAAAATCCTAATTATTTGGTACTAATTTAGCTACTAAGGGCTAGTTGCAAAAAAATGTTTTCTATAACCAATAATGTAGATGCAAAATCTAAAATTTTAGATGTAAATTGTGAATTTATATTGGGAAAAGATCACCTGCTAAAAATGGCAACGAAATTCATTAGTCACTAAGGTAGATTGTTTTATAACTAGCAAAACAGTCATAGAAAATTTAGTTTAGACACCAAATGTGGGAACATTTGGACCCCAAAATTTTATTCCTCTTTGGCCGACCAATAGCAATTCAGTTGGTAAATATAGGCTTTCTATAACTAATTTTGGCCAATTGCTAAAAAATTGTTGCAGAATGTAGTTTTTCTTGTAGTGTTAAATTTGAAGAGAAAAATTGAAGAAACAAACGAGACTAGAGCAAGGAGTTGAGAGAAAAAAATAGAGGCGGCGCAAAGGGTTTTGTTGCGTTGTAACTACAATATGCAATATAGCAAGTGCACTAGTTGTAAAAAGTAATAAAGTGATAAGAAAAAGTATCGTTCCCATGAGGATTGGTTGTTAATCACTAATTTTCCTAATTGTTATCAAGTTGGAGAAATCGAAAAGTGTTTGGATTGACGGGAGGAATTTAAACTAAAATGAAAACAAAATTTACCAAGTATTTAAAGGGCTAATTAATGAAAGCAAGATTAAAGTAAGAGTAATATCAAGTAAAGCAAACAGTTAGGGTTTTGACTTCATTAGGATTCTATGAATTAATCTACGAATAATGCTACTTCCACACTCACATGCACGGATTGTAAATTGAATTGCCTAATGTGTAAAACATACCTAGGCTATGAATTCCTTCTTTTCCCTATTAAGCTTCCACACCCAACAATTTGAAGATTAATAGATCCAAGTTCATTAAGCTAATGGAATCCTAGATTGATTTCATTTATTCTCAAACCTATCTCTAGCATTCAGTATAACAATGGTGATTTCCCTAAGAAGCTCATATATGATTCATTTCTCAATCTCATCATGTTCAACAATACTTTCAAGAAAAACAAGAGAAATCACAAAATTCATGCAATAGAATGTAGAAACAACACTAATTCATTGATTAAACATAAAAATCCCAAATTACATCAAACCCCTAACCTAAGATGAGTTAGTTCATACTGAAATTAACACAAATCGAAGTAAAAATAGTGAGCAATGTATTCAACATATTGAAACTAAGAAAAGAGAACAAAGATCTTCCCTCTATGACGAATCCACAAGGTTCAATCTCAATCTTCTCTGCTTCTTTCCCAAAATGTTAAACTTACTCTAAAAGTGACCAACCTCCTAAAATGGCTTAGTTTTTCTTATATAGTCGGTCCAAAACCTAAAACCTTTCCTAAAATAAAACTGTGTGTTTTAATTAAAAATTGAAAATAGCAAACTTCGCCGCTGCGAAAATATTCTTTGCCGCGGCTACGAGTTAAGTTGAAATCTCATGCCGAGCATCTATCGCTGCAGTAAAAAAAGAACTTCGCTGCGACGAACCTTCCTGAACAATTCTGAATTTATGGAATTGCCCTCCACTTGCTTTCTTGCTTGAATCTTCAATCTTGGATGTTCTCTAATGGAAACAAGCTTCATAGTGCTTCAAATCCGCTTCAGAACTTCCCCAAATTCTGAGATTCGCTTGCTTCTGGGTCCAAAAACTTGATTCTGCTCATTATTTGCTTGAAGTGCAAGTTTTGGCTTGAAACATAAAATATGTGAAATTAAGTTGCAATTCAGACACAAACAAAATAAGAAGTATCCAAAATCCGGCCAAAAAGCCTAAATAAAACAGTGTAATCCTCAGATTATCAAATCCTCCCAAACTAAAAACATGCTCGTCCTCGAGTATCAGGTACAAAACACGACTCCAAGAAAAACAACTAACAAACAAAAGCAAAATAAAAAAAATTGAAAATGAAATGAGAAAACTTAAAATAAAAAATCACACAAAGAACTGCCTAGAATTTATATAAGTCTAAAAAATTGTTGAAACATTATTACTGGAAAATGCTTAACACTCCGAGAAGTTATAAGTTGCATTGACTATCTTTCTCTATTGGTCCCCTGAGTAGGTACTCTCCATTTCAGTCCACATTCCAACTTCCCAGATTATTTTATGCAGAAATGCAGAGTTTATCAAATAGTGGCAGACTCCATAAGCCTAAGTACCGAACTACTCTCCACTAATAAGGATTAGACATCACTAAAGATCAAAAGGTCTTTACAGGCTTGTAACGTTAGGCACGGTTAATGGGCTCCAAAGAAAAGGAAAAGATGGACAAAGCAAGAGAAGTCGGTTTCCTTTAAGCAAACACTAAGAACTACATCACTTCCCCATTTCTTTCTCAACCACTACTTAAGGCGTCAACCAATTTGTAAAGCTCAAACATGTGGCATTCTTATTTTTTATTCTAAAATGCACTCACAAATTATATAAATATGATTATATAAGTATATTATAAATATCTATATATAATATTATTATATTATATATATTTAGAAACAACAATAATCTATTGAGGTAAATTACCCTTTACTTCTTCTTGCCCTTCTCATGGCCCCCAAACTATTCTTTTAGTTCATTAGCAATTCACACAACTCTCCAAGCTCTTTGTGTTTGCATTAGGTTCAGAATCTCTTAAGGGTTTGAAACGTGTTTAGGGGTGAAGGTTTGGGCATTATTGGTTGCACAAAAAAAATAGGGCAATGATGATTTCATAAGGCTCAAATGGGTGACTGATAATCCGTAAATATACAGTTTTATATGATCTCTTTGTCGGATTTCAATTACTTTCTAGTGGCATTCTACCTGTATTGGTGCGTATCTCTACTTTTGTGTTTCAGGTTAAAATGGACTCTTTTAGCAAATAAAGGCAAAACTTGGCAGTTTTGACTCAGAATTGAAGGATTCCAGAAGATAAGAGAGTTCCGGAGAGGACAATGCACGATGAAGCTTGTTTCCAAGGTGAAGAGTGCGAAAATCGAAGAATCGAACGAAGAGGCAAAGCAGAGTGGCAGTCTGTAAATTTCAGAACTTTTGAAGGAGCTTCGCCCCGGCGAGAAAATGTCTTCGCCGCGGCGAAGTAGGCAGAATCGATTTTTGGTTTTCATTCTTCGCCGCGGCGAAAGTCAAAAATTAAAGTTTTGTAAACGCACAGTTTCGTGTGTGTTGTGTTTGAACTGGGTTTTTAGGAAGGTATAAAGAAAAAACATTAACTTTTTAGAAGGGAGATCTCTGGGCAGTAAGGTTAGCCGTCTTTTACAATTTTAGAGAGAAAAGCTTGTATTTTTCGGATTGTTAAGGGAAGATTCAGATTGCAACAGAGAGAGATCTTTTGGGGAGATTTATTATTTTATCTCAGTTTCATATGTTTATTCTGTTTACTTTTGATTTCTGTTTTTATCTGTTAAGTTAGCTATGAACTAATCTTTATGGGTTAG